TCAATATCAGTTTGTTCAGTTTTTTGTATATATGGGGTTTAATTTAATAAAAAATGTATTTGTTTTTGTTCTTTTGAACTGGACTGCAAACATTTTGTAGGTTTGCACTGGATGTCAGAGTTAATGAGCTGTTGTTGTGGCCTCTCCTATGAGGAAGTGGTTTCCATGTAGAGTTTATAATTAAAATGTGACAGAACTTGAATGTTGGTAAGACAGTAGACCGGCTGATATGGTTGAATCTAATTGTCCTAAAGCTCTTTATTTATTACTGTTGTTGAATTATTTCATTTACAGTTCTGTAGAATAAGCTTTTTAATTGATGTTTATGTCTTTTTGTTTGACCTTTCACATGCACTCCAAGGCCTGTCAGTACACCAGTTTGCTAGCAGCTTTTATATTGTAGTCTCCTCACTTTGTTGTTAAATAGCGCAAACTCCAGCTGTGCAGCATATATTAAAAAGTGGCTGAAAACAGTTTTAATGACGTTTATCTAGAGTGTAAGCCCTGTGTGTGTGAAAACCAGGCCCCATGCTCCATATGAATTCTGCTGCTGTTTGTGGCTGCAGGTATTTCAGTAGCTGGAAACAACAGACTAAACTTAAGCTCCTGTTGATGTTTTGTGGGGGGAAAAATCTAATTACATTCATTGTTGGTGAGTGTCATAAGTTTAAGCTGTTATTGTCTGTTTTTATTGCAGTAAGTTTTTATTTTTAAGGACATGTAAGTCTGACTTGAAAGAGCAAAATGAATGGGTAAGGTGTGTTTTAATTGTTGACAGACTGTGTGCTCTTTGTGTTGCTGTAATGTGATGTTGTAAATCACTGTACACAACTTGCAGTGTATGCCTTTCCATTAATGTGACTGGGTGAAGTTTAAAGTTATGCCACGTTGATAGTGATGCGGAACCATCACTAGGTCCAACCTGTCAAGAGTGTCGTCCCTACTTTTTACAGAAAATTTCTTTAGATGAGGTGGGCCTGTAGCTGTGGAGGTTAGATGTTCCACCTCCTTTATGTAAAGGGCTTACATAAGCAGCCTTCCAGACTCTAAGAAGTGTACCATGGAAAACCAAAAGGTTAAAAAAACAAGTTGTAGCTAACTACAATTGAAGTGACCAACATTCAAAAGAAGGGATGAAGACCATCCACACTAAGCAAACTCTTTGAATCTTTGACCGCCCTCTTGACAGAATCGATGTAGTTCAACCAAATTTGTTGGCTTTCTGACACAGACTTGTTTCTTGACACAGTCCACTGATTCTCGATGGGGTTTGAGTCAAGACTTTGGGAAGTCCAGTCTGAAACCTGGCTTCTTGTCTGATGTAGCTACTTTTTTACCACTTTGGATGTGTGCTTGGGGTCATTGTCTTGTTGGGGCACCCAACTGTGTCTAAGACCCAACCTGAAGAATGTGGAGATAATCCCTTTTTCATTATTCCGTTCCACTGGCAGCAAAGCAGCTAGAGAGCATAATACTACCACCACCATGCTGTGACAGTAGGTTTGGTGTTCTTGGAGTTAAAGGCCTCACCTTTTCACCTCCAAACATATTGCTGGTCACTGGGGCCATTTTTTTGTGTGTGTCATTCCACCTCAAAACCTTCTGGAAGACCGTCTTTTTTCCGTTTGATCCCCAACAAACATCAGCTGAGCTTCAAGGTGGTGTTCTGGAGGTAGGGCTTCCTTCTTGCATGGCAGTGTCTCAGCCTATGGAGATGTAAAACAACTTCTAGTTCATTACAGACCTGCTTTTTGATGATTCTTGATTGACTCTTGACAATTCTGACAAATTGTTTATCAGCAGCATGTGATAGCTTGAATTTTCTTCCTGATTCTGGCAGTGACACAACTGCCATGCACTTTATACTTACAGTAGTTTGTACAGTTGAGTTTGGGATCTGAAGCATCTTTGAAAGGACTCCAAGTGACTTTCCTGATTTGTTTAAGTCAATGATTTTCTTCCTCAGATCCATACTTGGCTCTTTAGACTTTCCCATTGTAGTGTTTGTGGCAGACTCTAATGAGTTTAACAAATGGGCCCTATTTGAATTTGCTCAGCATCTGTCGTCAGTTTTAATCACTCACAAGGTGGCAAGAGGTAATGCCACTAAGAAAATGTGATTAACCCAACTTTCTACATCACCAAAACTGATACTTCAAGTTATTGTATGTATTTTTTGAGCCATCAGATTTTGTCATATTTCCAGAATACCTGTAATAAATCTATGAAAGAACCAAAAGGCGTGATTGTTTTTTGTGTGACAAAGATGCACGTGTTCCAATCATTCCATCAGGTTCCAAGAGTCACTGGAAACTTAAGACTGCCATGATATACATGGTGTTTACAAGTATGAGTAAACGACTATGTTTGTATCTGAGTTGGCTAAAAGTAAGCCACTGACCAGGATCCCATGTACATCTGGTAAGAACCCTCTTTCTTTAAGTAGAAGGTAAATTTTTGTCGAGGAACCAGTGACTTCATTTGCTTGGTGTTCTTTAGTTTTTGCATGGTTTTCCATTCCTGGTTTAAATGACCTGCAAATTTGTCCAGAACTAGTACAACATCCATGATAAGAACAGCATCAAGATTTTCACTTAGTAAAAGTTCACTGGAAAAGGTCTGGTCATTGTAGTGCTTGAAATGATGTATAGTCACATGAGTGTTCAGAACTTTATCACTTTCTAATGAAAACCACTTGACAATGATCAGAGTCATTCTCAAATACTCAAGAAACAATGATTATTTCTGTCAGTTCATTCAAATTAAATCAAACAATTATGATTTTGATGTTTCAATGTTTAGCCTGGTAGGGTCTATAATTCATTTTAAGAGATTTAAATTACTGGCTTCTGCCAATTTGAATTAAATTAAAAGTAGTCACTAAATTCCAATAATAAACTTGAAGATTTTAAAAGGAGATAAAGATCAGCTGAAACACCAACAACAGAGGAGCAACAGGAGGACTGAACACTACAATCACAGGAACAGATTTGAGCAGTATGCATTTTAAATTCTGTGCATATCTTTGACATATAAATGTATTAAAACCCATACTCAAAAAAATAGAACCTGGCGTATATGACTACTCTTCCACCTCTTGAATTCCTGTCCATTCTGAAGAGGTTGTAATTATCTAATGCACTTTCCAAATTGTTCGCAGTACATCTCAGCCAAGTTTCATCAACATTTTCAAATAATGATCTGCTGTGATATTATGATTTTTAGCTGCTCTATCATGTCCTGTTGCATAGTGTGCCATATGTTTATATGAATAACACATAAACCTTGCCTGTTTTTAAAAACGGAATAGTTCAAATTACAGTCAAGAGCAGATACCTTGATGGTATTCAATGATCTGAGCCTGAATATGAGGTGGAACTCTCTTGATACGAACTGGAACCAAGGAAACACTGTGGGACCGGTTGGCACAAGGCCAAGTGATGGGCATGTGATAATGATATGGACACTGGAGAATGTGGACAGGTGGGTATGGTAACATGTGAATGACCTAGTTCTAATAGCAGTGTCACAGTCCTACATTGACCCACATTGACTCGTGGCTCACATTACGCCTCTCCGCCACGCTCCATGGTCTACGGACACAGTCAGAGCCTTCCTATTCCAGGCGGCTAGTTTCTACGTTTACATTTTGCCTGCACGTGTAATTTGTCATTTTTGTATTGTTTATCATTTTTATTTATTCTTATGATTTCACTGTTTTTATGGGCTCTTACTAGTTTTTAATTTTAGTGGTTTTATCTTATTAGTTTATACTGTAAAGCACTTTGTAGCTGCACAGTATTTATTCAGTTTGAAGACTAATTAACTCAAACTGGGAATGGAATATTTTAAGATACTGGAAATCTTTTGTTCATGAACTATAGGCCATAACCATCGAATTGAAAACAAACAAACAAAAAAGCTTGAAATATGACACTATGTGTAATGAGATTAGAATACATTCAGTTTTTAAATAACTGGTGTAAAATATTAAACTTTGTTGATGTTCGATGTTGTAATTTTTTAAGATGCACTAGTCTATGTTTTTGATAGGTACACTTGGCACAGAAAGAACATATGTACATATTTGTATGTAAAAAGCAAGTCTTTGGAATTGAGCAATGCTCAAGTACCGCAGTCAGGGCAGCTTTGGCTGTGAGGTTGTGGCTTATTTAGTCCTTTGAATTGTCCACTAATCACAGGACTGGAACCCTCCACATACATGGCAGCTCTGCCCCTCTTGTTGTTAAGTTGCTAAGTAATCAGATGAATGAAGAACATTGCAAAGCGCTTTGTTAAACCACTGTGGTTAAAAAGACACTTTAAGTAAAGACTGTTGAAATATTTAATTAAAAATCAAACATTGTGTAAAATACAATACATATTTTTGGTATTCATTTTCCTCACTAAACAACACACATCATAATAGCATAAAACATCCATTTATAAAACATTTACTATTAAAATCAAAAGGGAAATTCTTCTGCTTTTTTCAAAAATAAATTTCCATATGTGGTTCAGATTTGAATGACACTGAATTGATTTCACTTTTTTTTTCATTATTATATTTTAGACTCTTTGTCTCACTGCTAAATATGGGACTGTAGGAAAAAGTACAAATAAATAAAAAGAACTCTTTGGTCCCCTTATAGTCATACAGTTAGACTGCCACATACATTATATAGAAAAAAAAATGATTATATGGAATAAAAGAGTGAGAATATCGAATGAAAATGCTGTAAATTTTTATTATAAATAAATATTATTAGAGCAGATTTCATTTTAAGCTCAAAATATATACATTGTCAAATCCACACAGAGAGCAATTTGCACTATTTCATTATTTAAACACTCACATCGCACAAACAGACATCTTTAAAAGCTTAAGTTACACATTCACACCTTCAACACAATACAAACTTCTTTTTTTCTCCTTAATTTAGTACAGCTTTGAATTTAAGTTGTTGGAGAAGTGCCAAAACGGATCATTTTATTCAGGTTCACATAGCCGTCACTTTTTCCTTTTTGGGGTTATCCATGTTTGCATACGGAACACCTAGAAGAGGAAAATAAGAAATATATTAGAGCTGCACACAAAGTCAGGCCTCTGATATTGAGGCATTCACAGGCTTTCAACACATTTCTTTTGAAAAAGTTCTTGTTGAAGTAAAGAAAAAAAACTTTAATAACTATCTCAATGTGTATTTTCTCCTGTGTTGCTATTGAAGTATGTTCTAGGAAACCTGTTGGGAATTATTTAATTTTGATTAAAATGTTTTTAGTTAGTTCTTCCCTTCCTTTTTGGGCAATTCACAATGTGTGTTAGTGTTTTAATGTAAATGATATTACTAACATTATTCGAATAACAATGCAGTTGATTGTGTATCTTTAGCAGTGTCACATTTCTCAGTTATTTCTAAACGTAGGTAAATGATTCAGTATTATCTCACCTGTTGATTTCATGCCGAGCTTTTTCTCTTCGAGCTTACGTTGCCTGTGGACAGAAAAAAATTCAGGTGAGTGGCTTCAACATGACCACGATGAACACATGCTGCCTGTAGGAAAGAGTGGAGAGGATTTGCCCGTAAAGAGGTCCGACAATCAAACGGGTCCCAGCTTCCCAGTGTTGACACAGTGTGCTCCCAGAAATTCCCAAAAAAGGAGATAAGTTTGTAATTTTCTCTCACCCACTGTGATATGACTGGGGCTTCTGAATTACATAAATGCCTGACCTGGAATGAAAATGAAACTTTTTTTCTCACCGGTCACATCACATCAGGATTGGAAAAAGAACTGAATTCACATAATCTCGACTCACAATATCAATATGATACATACATTTATTATTACATTTTCTGTATGTATTTCTAAAATATCTGGGCCTCGATATGAGTTTATTCTGTTTATTTTTAGTAGACGACAGTAACCTTTGGCTGGGAAATATTAGTCAGGATTTCTGCAAATGTCAAGCAACGGCCAGAACGTATATGTCCAAGCCCATATTGCCACGCATTGAGGCTCACCTGGCTTTGCGTCTGCAGCAACACACAACAATGGTCACGATGATGATGACAGCGACTGGAACCAAGACCGCGATCAGGATGATCCACTTGGTGTCTGTAACACACGAATACAGTAAAGAAATCAAAACAGGACTTTCAGAATTTGTAGCAAAGAAAAAAAAAAAGAGCAGAAATGAAGTCTCAGGAATGACAGAAATAAAAAGAAGTCCTCACCATTAGTACTTTTTTTCAAATTACTAACCAATATACTTTATGCATATTTGTGTTTTCATGGTAGAAAGGACTGGATCCGCTAATTCTGTTAATCAGAGCTATCGGTCATGGCTTCTGGTTTTGGTTTGTTAGTTTTTATTTTGAAATCTTCCTTCCTCATGTGACTGAACTTCCTCCCTTAGCTCTCTGTGTATATTCTCCCCCTTATCTCATTTCACTAATTGCACATCCTCGTTTCCTTTCCCTGTGTCGTAGTCCCTCCCACCATAAAGAAGATCGATCCTCTATGTGCATTTTAAGGAACTGAGATGTCCTTTGTTATGATGCACCAAGACCAATTTCCGGTTCATGGGCCAGAGGACGGAGGATCAAAGAGGTTGAAATTAGAGAAATGAGAATAGCCTGTAGTCCTGCGTCTGCTTTTGTTCTTTGTCAGCTCGTCCTGTTTGCTACCCTTCTGCTGGCTTTCTGCCTGATTCTCCTTGTGTTCCTTACCTTTGTCTGGTTTGTGTTTTTATTTTCTATTTGTCTCCATGTACACCTGCCTGCTGGTCCTTGTGTCTCCATGTTCTTTGGATAAGTTGTTTAAGATTTGTTTCTGTATGGACCTGCCTTATGTTTCTTCACTTCCTTCCTGCTACTAAGTTTTAGTTTTGATTAAAGTCTTTTTGTTGCCACTTCCTGTCTGCCTTTTGACTATCTGCACTTGAGTCCGTACCTGAACGCCTCCTGACACTATCTAGTTAGCTACATAACACTGTGCACGGTGTAGATGCTAGTAATATCATAGTTTGACTCTAGTCTATGTTTTAAATGTATGTTCTGAAGAGTGACAGATATTTTCGCAGGACATACCTAGTCCTTCATCTGGTATTTTCTCAATCTCACAGTTGTTGCCCTCGAAGCCTTCTTTACAGAGGCAGGTGTAATCGTTGCCGTTCGCCACACACGTTCCTTCGTTCAGACAGGGGCTACTGAGGCAGGGAGTTGCTGCAACACAGGACAAAACATTGAGTTTCGTTGATAGTCTCAGTTGGATTCGCCCTCCAGTTATCAGTTACATTAGAATGCCAGTGTTAAGGTACAAATTGGAGGTACAGCAGATCAACAAACACATGCAGTATTTCACTTTGTTGCAGTATTTTTACACACTTGTTTCCCACTTCACTGATGACCACCTTATTCGCTAACAAGGCGACAGATGATGGTGTTTTAAAAGACGGGGTGCCTCTCTCAGTATCAGTGTGTAAATATGATACGATTTCAAAAATGAAATATTTTACATTTTTGCAAATGTAGCATTAGGAAATACCCCCAAATAGTAATACTAAAAATAAGACTTACATCTTAGGGACTTACTATTTTATTTTTAACTCAAACAGGCGTGCGTGCCCATAGTGTAACTATGACAACAGAACTACCACTAAGTTATTAAAACAACGACACCTTCACACATACATTTATAGCAGTCCCGTTTGAAGTTGAAGATGGTGCACAGTTCGTCATCCAGGCAGGTCTTGGGCTGACACACAGCACCGGTGGCGGTGCATTCACAGCTCTGAGAACAGTCCTCAGTGACAAACTTTTCTTTGAGCTGTATAATAGAGGGAGAGAAGTGAGCACAAGGATGAAATGACATCTCACCACACAGTGACAACAGTTGGTTGTTTGTTGGGGGGCACGGGGTTCACAATGCTTTTCCCTGTTGACTGATTTCTCTTTTGTTTTTTTCCCTTCTGTTTATTCCAATTATAACCCAAAGTAACAGCCAAACGCAGCGATCGGAGAAAGACTGACTGTGTTGCTTCATGCCACTTACAGGGTAGTATCTGTTGAGGAAGGTGCAGCCACACTGTGTGTACGGAACACAAATTCCCTCGCTCATGACGAAGCCTGGAGCACACTGGCAGCCCTCCATACAGGTAACGGTGTCGCAATCAGAGGGTGCTGATAGGTCAGCGCAGGAGGCAGGGCAAGGTGACATACAGGAGGAATAATTGCTGTTGGCACTGCAGGAGAGGACTAGGGGAGGATGAATGAGAAAGAAGTTAGAACCCTAGAAATATATACACATTACAGAAACCCATTCTGAAAGTTAGATTGTTTTACAAACAGTGCCTCTAGGATCCAGGCCTCAGCTGATTTTCCTTTATTTGTATACAGTATGAAGCTTGTTTTTCTTTTTTTCTTGTGCAATTCCTTAGTGTACGTCTACTTTTTGTCATGATTATATCATCATTATGAAGTCATGGGCAAACTTTTCAAATGTATCTGCTCTTAAACTGCATGCATACATACAAGGATGGAAGTCAGGAACAGCAGGACACACATCAAAAGCCTGCGTTCCAAAACCACCCGATAAAACAATTCACGATTAAGGTAAATGGGCGAAACTTAACACACCACTGGCAGGATCCTCAATCTAAAATTTGTGTTAAGAGGCTCGCCGCTGTTTTTCCCATCTGATGTGAATGCACTGTGACTCGTGCGTGTTCAGCATCTTACCACAGTCCAGCTGTTGCCTCCAGGGTCCCAGCGTAACTCCGGCCTCCTGACAGGCTGCAGCGTATGTGTCGTAACTGGCACAGCGCAGTTCTGTACTGCCACTCTCAGCACACAGGTCAAACACACAGTCACTGAAACACACACACACACACACACATAGTGAGCATGAGCAAAGGCTGCCAATTTACACAAACGTACATTTTTATACAGGGGCAGTTTAAAACGGGGCTGTGATCATGTCTTTTACTGTATATGCTTGAATCACAAGTGCACAACAGTTGGTTCCACACAGTCCCTCACAAAAGCTACTACTCACTCCTGGAAGCTTTTTGGTGGCAGGATGGTATGGCAGGTAGAAAATGGACCCTTGGGATCAGACAGGGCTCCACACTGAGTCGCACTGTTGTAGTTATTGAGCTGAGATGAAGAGCAGTCTGTTGTCTCAAATCCTGAATCTGGTTCAGTCTCCCGCACCAGCCTGAAGGGAAAAAATTGTTAAAGTTGTTGTGTCAAACCCGAAGTGTGTTTTTTGCTGAGGTGTAATTGAAGAAGGAAGATATTGGATATTATTCCTATATGAGGTATTATTGGTCATAAGAGTTCAGTTTTTCTTGTTTTCTTAGACTTAAATTTCAGATTATGTGTTGCTGTTTTGCTCACATCATGCTTTGCTTTGCAGGAATATGTCCCATACATAAATGTAGATATATGGTTTGTTTTTTTGATGTTTGGTGGGTCATGGTGAGAGTTGAATGAGACACTCTTTTTGCATAGAATCCAGGTTTAAATCATTTAGAAATTGAAAGCTTATTTGTCTTCCCCATGTGCAACTTTGCATTTTCAGTTGTGTGTGAGCTTTGCTTTTTGCCAAACACACATACTTTTACTTTTGAGTTCCAGCCATACAAATCTCTAGTTCAGCCAATGCCACATAGAGTATCTATAATTGTTTGCACTGCGAGGAGAGCTTGAAGCCAAAACTTTTCGTTGCTGCAATAACTGCCTGAAATATAATAAATAACTTCCAAGGGTCCCAAGAGTCCCTGCATTAGTTCATACGATTTGAGTCCACACAATTTGATTAGTGGCAGATTTCTGAGAAATTTTTACCACTGAATCTTTTTTCTTGGAAAATCCCAGCTGGCTGGACTCTTTCTGTCTGGAGTTTCTGTTTCTGCATGTGCTCCTTTGGTGCGTGTGATTAGGTTAATTGCCCACTATAAATTGCCTGGAGGTGTGTTATTTGTGTCTTTTTGTCATATGTGTTCTCCACCTATGGCCTATTGTCAGCTACAGATCCTCTAAAATATAAGCTGGTAGCAGGTTAGTTTGGATTAAGTTAATTTGTTTTAATGTTGTGTTCCATCAAATTGCTGTATTTACTTGGAATGAAATAGTTAACACACAAAAGCTTTAGGCCAGATTGTGTTATTTCATTATAGAAGAACTGTAAATTTTCATCATCAAAACACCGTACAAATATGTTCTTTGAAAATAGATTGATTGCTCAGTGTATAAAATGATATCAAATTCCCTGAAACCAAAGTAAAAATGTTCAGTCAAGGCCACAACATAATTAGTTCACTAATATATATATATCTATGGCAAATATTCACATTTGAGAATACTATTTGAGCTGACAGTTAACGCAGTGACCCTGATCGTGGTCCTACCTGTGACTATGGACATTGACGGGGCGGTCATAGCTCCTCAGTCGATCAGCCTGTCGGTCACTGACCCTCCAACTTTCTCCAAAGTCTTCCAGGTCCCTGATCACCGTCCCATCTGGCTTCATGTACTCGTTGTTCTTATTACCGTCATAGTTTCCACACAGTCCTCTGACAGCGTTCTCATAGGTGCCGGGGAGTATGATTTCTGATACACAAAACAGAGAAATGTAAGGTGAGCATCTTTAAAAACAGAAATGGTCAGTTATGAGGCCAGAACAGTTCCGTTGTTTTACCTCCGCGACTTTTGCCATCGAAGCGTACAGTGAGACCAAAGGCAGTAGTGAGCTGCACCTGTTTGGAGTTTTCAGTGATGCTCAAACCATCAACTGGACTGAGAGGAGGTGCTACACGCTCCCCGTTCACCTAGAGGAGGTACAGTATGATTGCAATTTGTCATTTTTAGTTCACAAAACAGACAAAAATATATATGGTGCTTTCATCAGACAAGGACACGCCACTGACCAGGACAGTGTTTTTCTGCAGGAAGCGAATGTCAACACCGTAAACCTCAATGTACATCTCATCCAGGAACGACACCCTCTTGTTCCCTCCACGTCTGATGTTCTTTCCCCGAATCGTTAGGGGCAACAGGGAATCGTCAAGCTCATCGTTGGTCTGAGTCAGGACATAGGTGTAGGGACCCTGGAAATGATGGGTGAAACCATCAAATGTTCGGTGGTGAGGATCCCCAGCGACTCTGCACGTACTGAATTCTAGAAAACACGATAACACAAACAGATGGGTTACGCTCAGAACAATACAAACATGTACGTTTTTGTTGAGTTAAGTGTTTTTAGATTCTCTAAACTGCAAACTGCTGTAATGTGAATGTGGAGGATGATAGACTCACCAGTGGGTTGGCATTGGAGGTCTCCATATTTGTCCAGAGTGCACAGTGAGTTTGATTTACACTTGTGGTCCTTACATTTGATTTCACCACCAGAGTGACATTTGCATGACTCAGCACATTTATCTGTCAGCCATGAGTCTCCCACCTACACACAGACAGACACACATACAGACTTGTTTAAATTTATAGACATTTCCCATTGTCAGAAACAGCTGCACTTCAACACAACGCTATATTTACAATAACAGAATCTAACTAGAACTAACCAGAAAAAGTGTCATATTTCAATTTGGTTTTAATTTGTTTGATTTATTTTCTGAGTAAGTTTGCCTTGAGACTCTACAATTTTGACTACCTTCATCACAAGTTGATACCAGTGAAACAATCCCTGGTACTGAGGGATCATTTCAAGGACTGTTAGGTGGGGTCTATAATAGATCCTAACTAACAAACCCTCTTGTAGGAGTGGGTGTAGACCCTATCTTTTGTTTAGGTCTCTGCTAAGATTTGTATCTCTAAATGGTAAATCTGCGCCTTTAATGGTTTTAACCTGCATGTGTTTCTGATTTCAATTTTCAGTATGATCAGTATGGACACTGGCTCACTCACATCATAGTACTCTCCGCTTGAGTCCAGACAGCCACATTGGTCCAGACGAACACATTTGCCGTCACTGAGGACATAGCCAGCGTTGCACTGGCAGCCCTCCACACAGGTGGTTGAAGGAAGGTGGCAGAAAATGGGGAAGAGGTCGGAGCATGTGGGGGGGCAGGGGGCAGTGCAGTCTGAGTAGTGGCTGTTAGAAGGGCAGGGCATGGCTGCAAGGAGGCAAGAGAATAAAGTATTAAAGTAGCGAAACTAAAATAGCTTCTTTATTTGAATGAATAATTAGTGTTACTCACGGCAGAAGGTGTTGTTTCTCCAGCTGATGGTAATTCCAGCGCTGTGACAGGCCTGAGCATACGCCTCCACGTTGTCACAGAGCGTCGCCTGCATGCCGTCATACTCGCACATGTCGTAGATGCAGTTACCCAGGAAAGCCTCTGGTTTTACCAGAGCGTGGCAGGGCTTGAAACGGTCAGAGAGGATGACCTCAGCACACTGAGCGTTGAAACGTTCCTCTTCTTCCGGGGTGCAGTCAGGGTGGATGTCTGGACGAGTGTCTGGCTGACAACTACAGAGGAGAATGTTTGGATGACTGGTTTAGTTAGGGTCAGGGATGATGCAGTGTCATCTCTTTGTGATTTAGCTGATGTGCAGTACAAACTGCTGCTGCTGTAGTTGTGCCTCTCACATAAAGTGCATACATTTGGATCACAGAGGAAATACTTGGTTTCTTTAAATGTTAATTAACCTGTGATATCTGAAAAACCCAGGGAAACTGTGTCTATGACCCAAATGTATACAACATATACATTATTTAACATTACAATTTGTTTAGAATCATAACAGAAAACAGTGTGCAGTGGTTGTTACCCAGGATCACTGTCTCCCTCTGATTTCCAGCTGTTGCCCAGTTCAATCACATCCTTTGCTGGTTTTCCGTCGGGCTTCAGGTCGTCATCAGACAAGTCGTGGTTGTAGTTTCCACACATGCCGCACACCTGGAGAGGAGGCAGGTGGAACACATTTATTTCACTGTTCCTGGTATACGCTGACAAGGTTGCATCTCATAGTATTTTAAATCCACTAACTTTACAAGCAACTACATTTAGGGTAATACAAAGAATTGCAGAATCAGAATCATTAAAATACAAACGATACACAGCCCTACATGACATTGAGAGATTAGATGGATGGACAAAAAAAAAGATAATAAAATGGTATTATGTTTTTATACCTTGCTGAAATATTCTCCAGGAATAGTGATCTCCAAGTGATGGACTCCATCAAACTTCACCTGCAGACCAAAGTTTGTGTCCAGCAGATTGTAGGATCCACTGGATATCACTTTGGCTCCGGCCACATCAACAGAAATTGGGGTTCGCACCCGCCGTCCATTTACCTAAGACAAAAGAGAAAACATATCAGTTAGCCACTGTCCATTTCACCATGTTGTATCCCATTCTGCAGTTATTACTAAATATTCATAGATCTGACATTGTGTTCCATACCAAAACTCTGCGGGCCTTCTGCAGTTCAACGACAGTGTCATGGGGCAGGTAGACTTTGACAGAACGAACATAGGAGGCTTCTGGTTGACCTCGTTCCTCATTTTTAGCCACTATTTTGAAGGGAGTTACGTTGGTGGTATTACACACCTATAGGATTCCGAGAAAGAATTTGAAACAGTTGTTAGTTATTATGTTTCAGAATGAAGTTTGTACATGCAAACAAGGAATATGACTCTGGTGAATCTTAGCTCTGTATATGAAATAAAATAAATAAACTACAACAATATAACAAAGATTTAGAGCAATAAATCGCTTATATTTACAATATGTATGCAAAGAAGCGGGGCTACTGAGGTAGGTGTGGTAACATTTAAAATGGTGCAAATATGCGTGGGTGTGGACTATTGCATGGTGGTTTCTGAGTCTCTGAGGCTAGTGAGGGTTCATCAGGGTAACAGCTTGGGGAATGAAACTGTCTCTAAGCAGCACAGCAAGAAAAGCAAGCAGTGACACAAACATGACAGATTTGTATGAAATTCTCAAGAGAGATATAGACAAATTCATTCCATACCTCCACAAGAGTGTAAGTGCAGGTGCCCATGAATGTGTGCATCACCCCATCAAAAGTGTAGTAATGAGGATCTCCAGCTACATGACATATTCCTTTATCTGAGGTAGAAAATGAGACTCAGTGAAAGGTCAAGGATATTTTGATAATGGCACAGCTTCGAGTGCTGTGAATCTTTAATGATGCAGTCTATTGTTAAATGTACCTGTAGAGTGACAGTCCAGCACTCCTTCCACCACTTTGCACTCCTGTGCAGGGCTGCACTGCCAGGGCTCACAGGTAATGTTGCCATTTCCGTTACATTTACAGCGCTCTGAGCAGTCAGTCTCTGAGAACCAAGTGTCTCCAGTCTACCAAGTCACCAAAAATAACAAGTTTAACACAAAACAAATGAAACATATCATTTTACATCAGCCCTCCACTATAGCACACTTACCGGCCGGTAGTTTCCATCTTCATCGTGACATCCACACTCGTTGATTGGTACGCACTTGTCTCCACTGAGCACCAAGCCAGAGTCACAGATGCAACCCTCCACACAGGGATGGTTGCAGGAGCCTTCAGAGCCTGCAGGGTCCTGACAGCTGGGTTGGGAGCAGGCAGGGCCACATGGGTCGTAATGACTGCCAGGAAGGCACTTCAGAGCTGAAGATAGGAGGATATTTGGTAGAAGCTGTTTTAGAATGCGTTTTAAAATATACAACATAACAGCTGTCCAACAAAAAGGAAAGTTGTATGGAAATACAGACTTTAGTACTTTACTAGCTAGTAAAGCTAGCTCTGGTTTGTCATGAAATTACCAAATTCTGTGAAACACACACACACAAACACACAGACTTACGACAGAAGGTGTTGTTTCTCCAAGCAATGGGTACTCCTGCAGCAGCACACAGGTCAGCATAGCTCTCTATGGCCTGGCACAGGGCCACGGCCTCACCTCCAGTGGCACACATGTCATACACACAGTTTCCAAAGTATGGGTCAGGGGGCACCACAGAGTGGCAGGGCTTAAAGATTCCTGAGGTTAAGATCAAAGATAGTTGCAATGTTAATTTTTAGCCATATATTAGGATACTTTGTTGGATATACAGGTGACAGCTCTGTATTGTGTTGTTCTCAACATGATCCACTGAATGTGTTTGTGTCATACCATTGGGATCGGTGATCATGCCACAGCTGGTGGGCTTATTGGCCTCTTCTTCCACCTTTTCATCACAGTCGTCCTCTCCTCCACCGTTAGTACAGCTGTAAAGGAGGTGGAGCATTCATTATAATGTGGTAAAATAGTTTTACATGTTTGTGTGCACACAGATGTTTGTTAATTGTTTCTGGTATCCCGAAGGAAATGTCTTACAAAACGTCTCAGTTTTAGAGAAATACTATTTTTGGTAGCTAATTAATTCCGTCTGTCTCAAATGTGCAGTTTGTGTATCTCTGTTGAGCCACAGTTAGTGAAGTATTGTCTGTGCAGATGTTTTATATTGAAAGTCTTCCAGCGTCTAAATGAGCCTTGTTTTTTGGGGGGGTTTATTGAAATTGTGAACACAAATAAAGACAGCTGTAAACAATGGGTGAAGTAAGCGCAAAAGGGAGGTCTATATAACATGGACGTTTGTCGTGTGGCCATTCTTAGTGATTTAAAAATAGACGAGACAAAGGCGAATAGTAAACATGTACGAGCAATAAGTTTGAAGGTCACTTATAAAAGACTGCTACAAATTAAGGTCTGGGCCTGCTCGGTTATGTGACTCACTCAGGCCGTGAGTCTGGAACCGCCCAGCTGTCTCCCAGCTCGTTGCTGTTAGCGGCTGGTGTATTGTCTGGTTTCAAGTTGTCATCTTTGGGCTCTTCATTGAAATTTCCTGTAAGCAACAAACGTTTAGACTCAGTTTTTTGTGATCAGATCAACATGCCAAGAAAGACAGATAGTAACTCGCTTTTGTTCTTACCACACATTCCACAGAGCAGGCCTTGGTAGGAGTCTGGCACAGTGACGTCAGCGTGGTGGTTACCATCAAAACGCACCCTCAGGCCAAAGGTTGTCTCCAGGACAACAAACTTTCCACTGAAGTAGATCTTAACTCCACTGATTGAGGTAACAGGTGGAACAACGACAGTCCCATTGACCTGCAGAACAGAGAGAGAGACTGATCATGACAATGGACAGTTGGTGTCGATATATGAAGGCATTTACAGCTGTGGTTATCGAGGATCTTCAAATGTCTTGTTTTGGCTGACCAGCAGTCCAAACAGATATATATCATTTGCAACAAAGTTTATGAACAACAGTGTTGTCTATCAGGTAACATACCTGGACTGTGCGGCCCTTGCCCAAGATGACAGTGACACCATTCACATTGATCACCACAGCCCGGACGTACGAAACCTTCTTATTACTTCCTCTGTGCTCGTTTTGGGTGTCAACAGTGAAATAGGGCAAGCCAGAGGAAGCATTGCAGGGTTTGGTCAGGGTGTAGGAGCAGGCTCCCATATAATGGTGGGTGTGTTTATCAAAGGTGTTGTAATGAGGATCACCGGATACCGAGCAGATACCACTTCCTAGAGAAGAGAGGTAGGAGTTGACCATTACGTACTGTAAGAGAGATAATTTACTCGAACACTGTCAGATATTTTGTGTATTTAATTCTTTGTTTAAAAAGAGTCTGTGTGATTTTGTGTATGTAGGTAACATACCCAGAGGTTGGCATGTGTATTCTCCATCATGTAGCTGGCAGATCTCAGTGGTTGGTTTACAGCTGGTATCCTGGCACTGGATCACACCTCCACTGTGACACTTGCACTTCTGCTCACAACCTTCCTCGTACCACTCATCACCCGCCTGTAAACCATACACACAATCCAAATTAGAAACAGACGAACAATGTTCTAAAGTTCTAAAGTATTGTAAAGTACATCCCACAGGTGTGTCATTATCCAACAGTCCCCAACATCAGCATGCAAACATTTTGACCACTTTTCCATGCAACAGTCCCCCAGGTACGAGATGTTTAAAAGTTTTGTTGCATGTACTATGGGATAATTATCCTATTGAAAGATTCACTTCTGGTTAAACTTAACTTAACTTGAACTTAACACATTGCTTAATAGCATATTCAAGCACTCGCTAACCAAATTCTAATAACCAGAATTTTATATCCAGATCGAAATCTTGCATACGGTGACGTATGCATGAGGTTTGTGTGGTTTCAGCACAAATGGAATGTGACTGGATGTTTTTTTTTCACTTACAGGACGATACGATCCATCGGTGTCCACACAACCACAGTCCTTCAATGCCACACATTTGTCATCGCTGAGGATGAAACCCGGGTCACACGCACAACCCTCCACACATACGTCTTCACAGCCAGGCGATCCGATCACTCCCAGACATGTCTCAGGACATGAGCTGACGCACAGGGAGTAGGAGCTGTTGGGTGGACAGGCCAGGGCTGCATGGGAGAACAGACGGATGGAGAGAGGGATGGATGGAGGGCAAAGGGAGGGTGGGAGAGAGGGATGAATTGATTAGTTAGAGGCAGTAGAAAGAATCCAAGAAGGGTAAGTTTAAGACGGGAGGGACAAAGGGTCCTTCCTTTGACTTTTGAGTAGGATGATGGTGAATGTTGGAGCTTTTTCGAGTTTAATAGCACGATACTTTGATATAACATACAGACTTAACTTAGCAGTATTAAAGCACAAGAGGAAGCACCATCATCCTAACTATCCCAATTTTTCTTGTTTTCCACGATTTATCTTTATTTGCAACATTACAACATATTCTCTAGCTCTGTTATGACATACAAAAAAAAAAACAACCCTGTTTAGAATTTTGTTATATTGAAATAATGAGAGCTTACGGCAGAACTCTGGTGTCCTCCACTGGTGGACCGTGGCTCCGGCTCTCAGGCATGCATCAGTGTAGGCCTGGAGTTGGTCACACAGCACATGCTGCTGGCCATGGAACTGACACATGTCAAACACACAACTCTGGAAGAATGGAGTAGGATCCACCACTTTGATACACTCCCTGGAATCGAGAAAA